TCATTTTTTTTTTTTTAAATCTAAATTGAATTTTAAAAAACTGGTTTCATAGCAACTTACATTTAACCTTTACCTACACGTACCTCTTTTAAAAATAGTAAAAAATAAACTTTAAAAGTGGGGTACTACCATACCCTTACATTGCAAGATTTTTCGTCTGAAAAGTGGCGCCTCTGTTAGATTTTTAAGGAATTAATATTTGTGAATGAAAACAATTTATATAACATTTTACTGATGTTTCATGAGAGATAAATAAATTTTACGCATTTGTACACCTTACGTAAACCATTTCTGTAATACTAAGATCGACATAATAATATGCAAGTGTTTCATAGTACACCAATTTTACAGATTAATTTTCATTTTTACTACAAGAAAAATTATGTAATTACAGGTAAATGCTTAATCCGTACCCCTCTGGAATCACGTTTTGAACATTTGAATAGGTTTCTTTGGAAAAAGATATAAAAAGATATAAAAAGATGACTTTCCAACGACAAAAACTTACACAATTGGGTTGATTTTCATTTTGTTACCGGTTGTGATACAACCAGCCAATTGTTTGATATTGGGAAAAGAACCTGATGGAAAACCTTTTTTAAACACCATCACCTTTTAGATGGATTTAGCACTGATTAGGTACTCTGAAAACACATTCTCTAATCTTGAAAATGTAACTGGGTGTTCACTACACAAATGAACCAATGGATAAACCACCTCTGATATTATGCAGTTGCTATTCAAATTCCATGTTAACCAAAAAACATGTAACTACGTACAAAAACTTGAAAATCATTTATAAAAAAGAAATATTATTATATTGTAGCCAATTTAAATTAAGCTAACAACAAAGCTGTCTTTCACTCAATGTCAGTTCGCAGAAAACGTCAAGTTTACGGTAGAAAAACAATTTTTTACATAAATCTAGCATCTAAACATAAAAAAATACCAAAATTAAGCCCCCACATTAAAATAAAAGGAAACATTATTGAGATTAATGAAGGTTTTTAAAAGTTTTACTTTTTTATTTAGAATGAAATGCGTACTGGCAGTATAAGAAGTCTAATCTTCGATAAGTAATCAGGGAATACTGCAACATCCAAAGTAACTTTTTTATTGTTCAGGATATGATAATCAGTTCTCCGGGGCGATAAATAATTATTGATTAACAATAAACCCCAGTCGTTAAAAGGGCAGAATGGAGCTCAGAAAAAGCCATCTAGCTAATTGAATATTCCTCTCTTAAAAATATCATTAAGAAATTTGCATAAATACTAAGCAAAGCGGCTCTTATTTACGAATCTGAACGATACAAGTAACTCAAGTTTAATAAATTTAAATTAGACTCAATACCTACCTACTTTTAACACTGGGAATGAACAAAGCTTTTGCCTGTTATCTTTATGTTTATAAATAAAAGTAAATGTATTTAAATATTCTTTTTATTCGCTTTTTTTCTTATATAATGTATATTAACTTTTTTTTAAATGTATTTATTTTCTTTTACGAGGGTACTTTTACTAAGGATTATTGCTCTGACAGAAGTTAAACAAATATTGTCCTGAAAAGGATCCTGAATAATTTGAAGGAATCATTATAAATTAAACTGTTAGTAAAGAAAGTTAACAATAGACATTTTTCAGTAGGTTAGAAAATTTTAATAATAAAAAAAATTATTAAAATAAGATATATTGAAATGATTTTTAAATTAAGTAAAAACAGGACCGTTGCTGTCAGTGCCACACATTTGTTGCTAGATATTGTTATCTATTTCAAAAATTAATAAACAGTTATGTCACAACAAATTTTAATAATTTTTTAAAAATTAACTGAACATTTATTCCTTAACATTTTATATATACAGTGTCACTCATAAAGTATGGGATTTGTTTTCTTTTAAATGCCAATGAATAACTTTGACTTTGCCATCACTTGTTGCTTCAAAAGTTGGGATTAATTTTAAACTGTATAGTTTACAATTTAACACGATAGCGTTCGTTTTTGTTCTGTGTCGCAGTTCGACGGACTTCCAAATCGGTGAAGGACAAAAAAGGGTCCAAAGTATAGAATTAGAGGAATGGAGAAATATGAATCAAGTAAACCTTTATCTTAATTAAATATAAAAATTATGAAATAATAATATTAACAAACTCAAAGCGGTTATAAACAAAAATATAAATAATCTATGCCCAAATAAAAATAAATATATATATGTATATATAAATAATAGAAAACAAAATATATAAATGTACAGGAATAGAACATAATTAATGATGTGACTTTTGTTAATGTCAAAATTTACAGTTTTTTCTTTAAAATTTACATTTTTTTCTTTAAAATTTCTAGAAATGCTTAAAGAGGAGATTGCATACCTTTTAATTTTTCACCCATATTCCAATTTTCGATTTGTTTTGTCTTATTTAGGCAAACCTGAATAAAACAATTTTTGTTTTTAAATGTTGCTTCATAAAAAATAAACTTTTTTTTTTTAAAAGACATACCATATTTTAGGTAAAAATTTTCATTGAGTATATTAAATTAACTGGTTGGTCCATTTTTCTGATTCAGACTTTTAAAGTAAAAAACCATTTGTCTCTTTATCTTTATCAAACTTTTATTGTACATTCAGAATTTCCATAAAAATCAAATTTTTCCTTTTAGTGGGTTTCGTGAGAAAAAAATTTACACATTTTTTGCTTACTTCTTACTCCATATTATTTACAATTGAGTACAAAATATACCATTTTGAATTAGTCTTTGGATGGTCTTAGACACTGAAACAAAATATAAAACGAAAAGAGTCGTATAACTTTATTATATGTAAACAACATAACCTTAAAAAGTTTTTATTTACCTTGTCTTAGAGAAGTTTTTCGGAAACAATCGTTAAATTGACACATATCCTTCCAATTTATTAAAGTGGCAGTTCTCCATTAAACACATTTTTTTTAAATGAGCACAAAAAAATAATCATAATAGAGGAATGACAGTTTGTTTGATTTGGTACAGTGTTGCCAGAATGTTTTTGTTATGTACCAGATTTGTTTAAAAAACGTTACAGATTCTTTAAATGTATCAGATTTGTCGAATTATATTTGCAGTGACATCTAATTCATTAAAGGAGAAAAAAGGGGTTCTCTTTTGATGACGAACCAAACAAGGAACACAATATATATATTTTACACTGATGCACGCAGAATGTACTACATTTAGTACAATTGTGAATTGTATTATACTGGCAACACTGGTTTGGCAACCTTGTTTGTGAGCGGCGCGCCAATTAATGTGTTCTCTGACAGTTTGAAGGATCTGTCTTCTCTTTTTAGCCATATTCATTTGCTATATGGTCTCACTCGTGTTAGGCTCACTCATCATAATGCGCCATAGACACAGTATAGTTAGGTATACTGTGCCACAGAGGCGCGATCAGCCAGAAGACAATGATGTACCAAAAAATATAGATTAACACTCATAAAAATAAAAATGTTAAAATTAAATTTATATTTTTATGTTATTTATGTAATTTTAAAATAATGTGTTTTTATGTTATTTAACTGGGTGTTCACTGCACAAATGAACCAATAGAGAAACTGCTCCTGATTAGAGTACGGGTTGTCCTGGATTATTTTACGCGTTGGAAAACCGCCTACAAATTATTTTTTGCAGTTTTGCATAAACAGCCGAAACAGCCTGAACAAAATTTGGACCAGTTCAAAGCAATCATGCTATAATGAATAATAATAAATATTACTTTTCAACAGATATGTTTTGACGCACTAAATTGTTTAAAATTTCAAATAAAGCTGCATTTTAAATGAACATCTACGCTTTGTTGGCCCTATTGAAACTTAACATTTGCTTGCGCCAAACAAATTTCATTTGATTCAAGAAAACATTTTTCAAAACGTACGAAGGTTAAAATGTATATAAATGTTGAAATATTTCGATTTACGGCAAAGCTAATATAAAAGACTATCACAATAAAATAAAGCGAAGGTGTCACCTTAAGAAATGTTTCGTCTACTTCTAGACTTTTGTTTCATATTTAAAGTCGGGTTCGCATTGAATCGAAATATAGCTCGCATTTGTCTAGTGTCGCGCTACACCTGACACTTCATAGTTACATTGTGCCGTCAAGTGGATCGGCCTTATCGAGTTTTTCATGTTCAATATTCGTTTGCAAAATAGATGGCAACTTGAGATACGACGAGCTTGACGTAGATTCACAATTCTTATGATACAGGGGTGGTTAAAAAAATTAGTTATACCGATTATAACAATTTATTGCAAATTCGTTATTAACTTCAAATAAAGCGGCATTTGACAATCGTATTTTTTTTTGAACTACTAGATTCTGTTTAGACCATCTAATAAAAAAATAATATAATAATACGGGTACTGCTATTTTTATAATTATTAAATGGACGCTGTTAACCCACATAACAATCATTTTGAGAAAAAGCCATTTAAAGGTTGTATAAAAGAATTAGCTCTAATTTTTAAAAACAATTTATTATACCTATATAAAAATGGCAATGAGTAGTAAATTTTATTACAATATGAGTAAATTATTTAGACAACTGTACAAAAAGAATATTTTAATGAAATTTTTATTTTTGAAAATCTAATTTTTGTACTTATAAATGGGTTAACCCACACAACACATTTCTGGAAATGTTTAAATTGGTTAAACGTATGGTTTAACCCACATTTCTGAAAAAACATTAAAATTCGATAAATGTATGGGTTAAACTTATTTAAAAACTGTTTAACCAGACCTTTTTTGTAAAGATGGCGAAATTGATGAAAGGCAAGATTTACAAAAAATAGTTTCACATTATTAACAACTAGTATGTATTATAAAAAACAAAACAGTATTCGCACTACAGTGTTAAATTGGAAAAAAATAAAATTTAAACAATCATTGCTCTTTCTTCTTACATTAATGATCACCATCATCTTTCAAAATTCTGTCTTTATTTCCATCTTCATTTTTATTTTTAATTACAAAATCTATAGTGTCTCTCTCCATAACCTTCCAAGTCATCTATAACATCAGATGTTTGTACTCTTCCTAGGAAACTATAAAACTGTTTTGCATCGCTAGCCAGTGCGTCCTCAAGTTCTTTGGAAAACACGGTTTTTCGTCCAAAGCTTTTGATATCTTTATTAGCAAATTTATTTTTGGATTCAAGATGCCTTTTAAATGTCGCTTTTGAAATGTTAAATACTCGGCATGTTTCATTGAGTCCATATTTTTTTGCTTTATAAGCATTTACAGCTTTTTTCATATCTTGTAGACACCATTGTCCATATGGTTTACTACCCTTTTCCTCATCGGAAGACATCCTAGAAGCAAAAAATTTTGTTAGTTTCCTAAATTGGGTCATAGGTACTTTCACCTTTTTAACAGATCTAAAAAATTTTTAATTGTGTAGAAATATTTCTTGTTTTTTTTTGTGTGTTTTTAAATATAAAACAAGTATTTTGTAAATTTCTATAATCGGGATCCTTAATTGGACCGGTCCAATTTCGGAAATCACATGGTGGTCCACTTTAGGAAACCACCACGTGTTTTTACAAAACTACACCGTAAAGAAAAAGAAAAAACCATATGACTAGGTAATAGGGGGAATAAATAAAAAAATACTTACTTGATAACCAGGTGATAACAGTTTTTCCTTAGGGATTGACACAGTGACCCTGTCTTTGCTTAGGGACGCAGTGCAATTCTTACATCAAAATGAAGAAATTAAGACTTCTCGCTCCACACGCCAAGCGCTGGCCGCCAACTAAGCACAGAACACTTACTCTTAGAACGGTATCTCCCATGTTAAAAAAGGATGATAGAATTTTCAGCGGCACCTGGCGGACGTGGTTGATTTTTTTTCAATTAAGTCCTTGTCTGGTAAGAGGCCATATGAAAGAAGAGAAAATAATAAAAAGAAGAAGAGAAAAAGCGCGGGGCTATTCAAATTTGACAGTAAAAATTATCTGCATTAAAAACTGTTAGCCAAATTAAGATTTGTTCACACAAACGGCATTTTTGCTTTATTATAGCGATATTCGCTATAATGAAGCAAAAATGCAGTTTGTGTGAACAAATCTTAATTTGGCTAACAGTTTTTAGATAAAATAACAAGCATATTCAAAAAATAAGTTTATTAAAGAATATATATAATACAAATCCAATATTTAAAAAATGTAATGTATATGAAAATTGTAATATGTATGAAGTAGCTGGATGGCTGCTACATATTCCAGGATACAACACTGTCCATCATTTTGTGAAGAACTTTATCTGTAAAAAAAGAAAGACAGTATAAGTACAATCTCATTAAAATAAATGTATTAAAAAAAAATTATAAGTCCGAGGAATAATTTATTTTTTAATAAGTCCAACATCTACGATACAGCTTTGCAACCCCAAACGTCACGAAACAGAAATTTCACAGTATATGCCGCGTTTGAGAATCCACATCAGATGCATCTGAGATGTAGTAAGTAAAGTATAAGTAAATGTAATGGGACAGATGTGTCCGATTTAAAATAAACTATTTGAGGCGCTGTTCTCCACATCTCAGTAAATAGGCTAAAATGATAATTTATAATGATCTAATATTACCTCATTTTAATTATTGTGCTACTGTATTTGCTCAACCAAAATGAGTTGCAACGATTGCAAAAGTTGCAGAATAGAGGTATGAGGATAAAACTGATCTGTTCGAGATTGGAACCAATCAATTCCATGTTGAATGTGCTTCAGTGGTTGCCTGTTAAACAATATTTGCTATTCTATTCCCTGCTTTTTATATTTAAAATTAAATCAGGAATCTCCCCAGTATATTTCAAAATATTTTAAGTTATAATCAGGATGTTCATGAACATAATACACGTAATAAGAAACATTTTAGAGTTTATAAAGCCACGAAAAAATGTACACAAAATTCAGTGTTTTTTAAAGGTGTACAGGCTTTTAATAATTTGCCTGAGGATATTAAATGTTCTTCAAATGTGGCAATATTTAAAATAAAACTGCGTGAATACTTGTTGACCTATTGACGTTTTTTTTTCTCTTCCTTGTTCTTTTATTGTTTTGTATAGTTGACATGTAAGTGTACTGTATCTTATGTATTTTTTATTGCATTTTAAATGTATATTGATTCTATATTTATGTATTTTTTATATTTTAAATGTAAAAATGTATTGACATGTAAAAAATAGTTTTTTTGACTAAATAAACGATTTATATATAGGTATGTGGATAAAAAAACGCTCGAGATGTAAAAAATGCATCTGATGTGGAATCTCAAACACAGCAATAAGTATAAAATAAATGAGTAGAGTACTAACTTTCCTTCTCGAAAAGAAGTCCAACATATATTATTAGTCTGCTTCTTCTTCTACGATACAGCTTTGCAACCCCAAATGTCATGAAACAGAAAATACACAGTATAAGTATAAAATAAATGAGTAGATTACTAACTTTCCTTCTCGAAAAGAAGTCCAACATATATTATTAGTCTGCTTCTTCTTCGAACCTTTACTTGAAGTAGAAGGTGTTTGATCAACATATTCAATTTCTACGTTATTTGAGGAAAGTCCATCCGCTACTCTTCCAGGAACTGCTGGTAGGAATAGCGTTGGAAATGCTTCAGGTGTTAGACCTCGACGAGAGCCAACTACTTTATAATTCTCTTCAAAATGTTTATGACATACTACAAAGGTGGAATAAATTTGTAGTCTTGTTTTATTATTAAATCTTGGACAACGAACAGCAAGTGCACAAATATCAAATAAATCGGGTGAATTCGTAGGGTGGGGCAGGCGATGCATCTTGTTGTCCACATCAAGGCAATTCGGTACACAATATTTTCTATAATTACGCATCTTTATGAAAAAGCACAAAATAACAGCGGAAAAAGCACAAATTTATAATGGAAAAACAAGCTTATTAACAGTGGTCAACTAAATTAATTAAGCAAATTGGAAATGAAAACAACTGAATACAACAGTCACCAATATAAATAAACAAAGTTCACGTTTGGTTTAAGCCAAGACGCCATGACACCCCCCACAAAAATCAATATTCACCTGTCCTTTACACTCCCACCACCTACCCCACCACCCGACTGCAGCGCCACGCGGACGTGGTTGATTTTTGCTCTATCCCAGGCCTGCGCATTCCAGTTTCCCACCCCTGCAACCAAGTTGAGTTCGGTATCAATCTAGGTCTCTAGACGGGAGTAAGATACCATGTTGTCAAGTGAATTTTCGGTTTCGTAGTTTCGGAGAAAAGTATGGTGGTCCAATATAGGTGGCGGTTCAATTTAGGCAACCTTCCCCTATATATTTAGATGAAAATAACAACTCATAAATCACATCAAGTTATGCTTAATAATACAAGAAAATGACAAGAAATTCACTATAGGCAGATATTGGACCCTTGTGCAAAGAAATTTAAAATAAAAAATATTTTGTACTCTTTTAGCTTAATCAGATGATGTGCAGTTTTCTTGAGGATAAACAAGATATAGTGTTCATCTGAAACTGATTTCTTCCACCACAAAACATGGAGAAGATGTTAGGTACGTCTAGGATTTAAATCTTCATACATAGCATCACTATCTTATAGATTGAGATCAAGATGATAGCCAAAACGTCTAGAACCTAATCTTTCATGGACATCATCATTATAAAGTTTTAATGACTCAGTCCCGATAAAAATTGGAATAGGTACAAATAAATAGATTTAAATGTTGTGAAAATGAAATAAGTGATTCAACTACAGAAAGAACTAAATAAATGTACCTTATATAAATAAAATTTTGTAAAATGTTAACAGAGACAGGACCATCAAATTAAGTTGAAATAAATTTAACAGGACATTTTTTTAGTTGAAGATTTTCTTAAATAATCAGCTTGAAGGGTCTGAATAGTAGTCACTTTTATAGGATAATTATGAATGTATTACCTAATTTGTACAGTTGTGTGCTGATAAATCTGTTTATGTATTTATTAAATAGAAACACTTGGCATAACATATTTTATTTTAATAAAAAGCACGGAGTTGATTATTTGGAATTGTTTTATTCATGTTTAATATTGTTTATAAATTGTTGATACATAAGGTTTACTTTATTATCTTGCTTGATACTTTATAATCTATATTTATTTGGCTCGTAGAGTTCTAGAAGTGACGGATTTTTCTGTTACATTCCTGCAGGTGCAAATCTATATTTGATTTGGTGTATTTTTAGTTATTTCTTTTAGTTCTTCATGAAGACTTTTAATAGTTTTCTCTAAAATTATAATTTCATTTTGGTGGTCACATCTGAAACAATGATATAGAGTTTAATTAATAATATTAAACATTTCTATTTAATTCCTGGTATTATTCAATAGTTCTACATGCTAAGTTATGTAATTTTCATTTCAAAGCCACAGGTACCATATACAATTTTCACATTTAAAATATTTTTGGTACTTACATTTCTAGTTCTGGAGATACTGAAATATTAGAACTATCAATAAAGGTTTGTCGATACCTTTTTGTCTGCCTATTAATTTATTGTCACGTTTTGCAGGCAATTGTTGTTCGTTTTTTAACTCTCAGATTTTCAGTAGAAACTGTTGTTGGTTTAAAATTTCTGCCAGTTTTAGGTGAGCAGTTTAACAGTCTCTGTTGTAAAGATATATCAATACTATCCTTTGAAAAATGTGTAGAAAAATACAAGCATAAAAAGAAACAAAACATACAAAAATGATTATAATTCAATTTAGTTTTGCAAAAACCATACCATTCTTCAGGTTATTTGTATATTTTTTCCTGCAAGCATTGATCTATGCTTTAAATACGTCTCTTTTCGATAACCAAAATAATTAATGTTTGTTCCCTTTGTTTTTCGCGAATAGTTCTTGTAGCCATACACTGCACAACCTGGCTAGTAACTACACTTCCTAAAATAGTAGATTTTAATGTAGGTAAAACAATATAATAATAATTAGAAACTATTTTTTTATCTTTATAATACAGCAAAAATATGACATAACTTACTTTATATCAATTACACTATCAATTTAATTAGAAATTAATTGAATAATACCTACCAATTATTAATAAAAAGCAGGGCCGCCGAGAGCCAGGCCGGGCCCCAGGACAATTCTCTAGAGATCGGGCTCCGTGACAAAAAAGCTCTTCAAACAAAAACTTTCCCTCTTCTAAAAAAAAAAAAAAAAAACCTTAAGCAGAAACTTTTCCTTCCCCCTGCTTCAATTAAAGTTACAAATACAAAACAAAAAAAGAATCAGTTGTCGGGCCCCCTTTATACCGCTGCCGGGCCCCCATTTGAGTCCGGGCCCCGGGAATTAGTCCCGGCTACCCCCCCCC